AAGCTTTTAAGATCCCAGTCGCTACTCGCCAAAGTAGCAGGTGGAACAATGTTTTGTGTAGTATGTTATGCCAATTGAGTTTGATGTCCCCTGTGACTATGGTCCCAAGCCCACAGGTTCAACTACTCAGTCCCTCTGGGTAGCTGGCTGTGACCAAGAAGTGAGTACAACCTTGTCCCTCGTCAGCTTCAACGTATTTTCTTGCTAACCTACTTCTCAAAGGCTGCTCCAACTTCAACTCTCTTTAGCAATATGAAGAAGTACTTCTTACTGTACCAGCACTGAGTATTATCATAAAAGATTAATATGATACATGAAAATGGTGACTTCTTTCTATTTGGTTTTCTTTGATTACATTTTTTTATATGTTCACTATTTGCATTTTTCCTACTGTGAATTGCATGTCTTTCTTTCTATTCTTTTAAAGAGTACTAGTGTTTTATTTATTGATTTGTATAAACTCTTCATATATTAGGAATATTAACTCTTTATCATATATATATAGGAAGTGTGTTTTCCAGTTTGTTATATGCCTTTTTATTTAGTCTATGACCAAATTAAAGCACATAAAACTTAAATTTTTTTTATGTAATGCAATCTACTACAATTTTCCTAGAAGTGCTTCCCAAATCAAACAAATATTCCATCTATATTTATGATTTCAATTCTTACATTTCACTCATTTTAGTATAATAATGTAAGAAATAAATCTAGTTTTATTTTTCTCAATTAACCACTTGTGCCAGTATAATTTCTTGCAAAGTCCCTTAACTGAATTGTGATGTCAACCTCTCTGATATTTTACATCTTCTGTATACTATGTCTGTTTCTAAGCGTTATTCTGATCATCTATATGTTTACTCAAGTCAATACCATTTTGTCATTAAAAATATTTATATATTCTCATGCTATTGGAGTTTTGATTGTGAAATAGTTAAAATTAAATTCACCTTAACTTTGTTTAACATTCCTATCCCCGGTTGGCCAGAGGAGGCTGTTACCTGTCCCTTGTGTCTCCTATACATATATATGAAGGTAGCCATAATTTTCACACAAATGATAGTAACTTCACCTATCAGTCTCTACCTTACTTTTTTCACTTGCCAATATATCCTAGAGAAAGAACTGGTTCAAATCAGCAGCTTTCAAACATTTTATTATTTTTTTCAAATGGGATTTACACAATGAAATCCAAAAGTGGAGTAGGTAAAAATAGAACTGCTGACTGAAGCAATGGTGGGGGGACGGGTAGGGAATATGTGGGTGAGGTCTCTGAAGGGTCCTTAGGGCACTGGGGAGCAGCAAAAATTATTCATTGTGGCCGTCAAGTTGATTCCAACACATAGTGACCCTATGTAACAGAGGAGAACTGCCCAATAGGATTTCCTAGGCTGTACTCTTCTATGGAACTAGATTGCCAGGTCTTCTCTCTTGTGGAATAGTTGGTGGGTTTGAACTGCTGAGTGCTTCACCAATGAACCACCAGGGCTCCTTGGAATAATGGCTAACCCATTGTCATTGCCACTGAGTTGATTCTGACTCATAGCAACCCTATAGGACAGAGTAGAACTGCCCCAGATGGTTTTCAAGGCTGTAAACGGAAGCAGACTGCAACATCTTTCTCTCATGGAGTGACTGATAGGTTTCAACCATGATCACTTGATTAGCAGCCAAGCACTTTAACCATTGCACCACTAGAACTCCTGGTGGGATATGGCTAACACCAAAAACCCAAATCCACTGCCATCAAGTCAATTCTGGCTCATAGCAACCCTATAGGACAGAGTAGAACTGCCCAATGGGTTTCCAAGGCTGTAAATCTTTACAGAAGTGACTGCACCATCTTTTTCTGTGGAGTGGCTGGTGGGCTTGAACCAAAACCTTTCGGTTAGCAAACAAATGCTTTAACCACTGCGCCACCAGAGCTCCCTGGAATAATGGTTAAAGAAATCTACAATGACATGACACATACTACCACCAGAGGGCACTTGTGCATTCCAGATGATGTTCTTCTCCAAGGTGATTGTTGTTGTTGTTGTTTGCCGTCGAGTCAGCCCGACTCATAGAGACCCCTCCTTGGGTTTCCGAGGCAGTATCACTACGGAAGTAGGATTGCCCAACCTTCCTTCCGAGGAGTGGCTGGTGGGTTTGAACCGCCAGCCTTCTGGTGAGCAGTCAAGTGCCCCTGCAGGTTGATCTTGTGGTCAACAGAGTGTATTTGTATACCTCAGTCTATGTCATAATAACTTCAGCATTTAAGTCAAGGAAAGTCTAAGCTGTCTTGAGAAATCAATCTCATTTTCCAACAGGAAAGGCGACCTGAAAATCATACTAAGGATCCCACTCATACCTGGCCATCTCTAATGACTATATCCTGAGCCTTCCTTTTCTGAATCCTTCCTCGACAGCACCCCATTGAATTGCTGCAACTCTATGGGACAGGTGCTATGACCACCTCTGCTCTGCAGGTAAGAAACGGAGGCTCCCAGAGCTTAGCAGCCTTGTCCAAAAAGCCACCTACACAGCCCTCAAATCCAGGGCACTTAACAAGAAGCTGGAATGGAACCGACACAGGGATACAGGCTGCTGTTCATCTCAGTATCCCAAGTGCCTGGAAGAGTGCCTACCACCTGGCAGACACTGGAGAAATACATGCTGAATAAGTGAATAAATTAGGCAGCAGGAATCCCTCAGAACAAGGTGTAATTAATTCGTGCTGGGAAGAAAGAAGGGAAACACTGCATTTCTTCAACAACTGATGGTTTTAAAAGACTGAGGGAAGTTTTCATTGGGGTACAGGTCTGAAAGAAGTTCAGGTTGAAAAAGACAATTCTAAAACCAGGAGAACTGTCAGTGTTGAGAGTCAATAAACCAAGCTCTCAAAGTTTGTGAATGAACACCAAACCAAAACCAAACCACCCGCCAATGAGTCAATTCCAACTCATAGTGACCCTCATTAGGTTTTGAATGTGGTAAATCTTTATAGAAGTAGATTGTCCCATTCACGGAGTGGCTGGTGGGTTTGAACCGCCAACCTTCTGGTTAGCAGTCAAATGTACCTTAAACAATGTGCCACCAGAGGTCCTTTGAATGAACCCAGCAATTCTCTTTTTGAGCAAATGCATCCAGGTTCTTGAAACGCCATCAGTCTAGCTCAGGCTCCTTTCGCATTCCCTTGGTTCCCAGAAATGAGGGGAGAATGATCTATAACTGTAAATGGCCAGTGACAACATCAGAGACTGGTCCACACAGAGGGACTACCTACTCAGATGTAAGCAGTACTATGTGCCGTGCTTTACTCTTGATGTGTTCTCAGAGCAAGACCCTCTCCTCAAGCTGCAGTGGGGTCTGAAAGAAGAAAATTCCACCTGGGGCCCAGCAGACTTCCTGCTGAGGTCACATTCTGGTCAAGGAAGACAGGCCCAGAGTTGGCTCAAGTGGATTCTGTTTGCTTGGAGAGAAGCCTATGCAATGAAGGCTTAGCTTTGCCTGAGCTGAACAACCTCTGTTAATCTATTTACCTGGGCTCCACCTTGGGCTGCCAAAACACATCTTGAATTCTTGAGTCCACAATGTCACCAGTTAACAATTAATTGCATTTTGGTTACAGGCAGGGAGCTCAGAGAACATGAGTTTCTGTCCATACCTGGGCATGTCAAGGCCAGGCCAGGCTGTGCACTGATGGTCCCCTGGCAACTTGGGATGACAACCTACCCAGGCTGTCTGGCAGATGCCTAACTACTTCCTGGATATCAGAAAAGCCAGTGATTGCCTGAGGCTATCTGAGAATTAGGAATAGGCATCTTTCCTTTTTTTTTAATTGTGATTTGGGTGAAAGTTTACAGAGCAAATTAATTCTCCATATTGCAGTTTATACACATTTTATTTCATGACATTGACTGCAATTCCCCACAATGTAACAGCTCTCTTCCCACTTCCTCCCTGAAGTTACCTCTTCCCTGGGTCCTTCCTCCCTATGCACGCCTGTCCCCTGAGCTATCTCCCCATGCAAATATTGCCCTTCTGACTTCCCATGATTGATCTCTCTAAGAAGTGTATTTACCTGGTGTAAATGTTCACCTCATATGCCTGTCTGTTGTTTGGCTGGACACCATGGGAGTGAGTTCAGTTCCAGACCTGAAGAGTAACTGAAGGCCATAGGCTTGGGATGGGGCTGGTGATCTTAATCCTCTTCCTGCCTTGCGAAGTTAGAGGAGGTCAGATGCCCCCCAACACACATCATTTTTACCCATATTTCCCCCCTAATCCTTCCCATCAATGAGGCTGAAGAGTCATCTTGGAACCTATAAGTTAGATCCACAGAGACAAGATCACCCTGCAGGGGGTAGCGGCTCCATGAGAGGCAGGGCTCTCGTCTGTTGACTCCTGTACACACAGCTGCACCGATGCTGAGAGACAGGAGATGCCTGGCCTAAGTGATCAGAGAAACAGCACAGAGAGAAGCTGTGAGAAAGACCATTCCTACCTTTCAGGGTCTCCTGCAGTGTCTGTGCAAAGCTGGCCAGGCGGAGGCCATCACTGGGATTCTTGCTCAGATTCTCAGCCCCCAGGAGGGTCAGGGCTGCCAGGTGAAGGTTAACAAGGGTCAAGTCATTACTTCCCACCTGGGCAGGAAACAAAGGAACAGGAAAGGGCTGAGCCACTCAGGTTTCCTGTGTCAGTTACAACAGACTCATCAACAGCCTCTGTACAAAGCTGATGACAGTAAACAAAACCAAAGCCGGCCCACACTCCACAAGATAGTGCTTCATATGAGGCTTTGTCTTAAGATTCTCCCAGGGCACCTGCAGGAACAAGACTGATCTTCATTTCCCCCAACATCGTATCCCTATTCCTCCTTAAAAACCAAACCAAATCAGCTGCTATGAATTGATTCTGACCCAGGGCGCCCCCATGTGTTGCAAAGGAGAACTGCATTCCATAGCGTTTTCAAATATGTGACCTTCTGGAAGGAAGTAGATCAGCAGGTCTTTCTTCTAAGGCACCTCTGGGTGGATTCGAATCACCCAGGATCTCCGACCAGCTGCCCTCAGGCCAGTTCTGCATCATGGCGACCCACGTGTGTTGGAGTGTAACTGTGCTCTATAGCATTTCTTATGGCTGATTTTTCAGGAGTACATTGCCCAAACTTCCTTTTAGTTCTCAGCCAAGTGCAACCTTTGGCGCCACCCAGGGACTCCTTCCAAAAACTAAACTCACTGTCATTGAGTTGATTCTGACTCATACAGACCCTCATTGGGTTTCCAAGGCTGTCTGTCAATCTTTATGGAAGCAGACTGCCCCACCTTTCTTCTGTGGAGTAGATGGTAGGTTCAAACCACTAATCTTTTTGTTAGCAGCCAAATGCCTTAACTACTACACCACTAGAGCTCCTTAGAGCCTCCTTACCCACTGCTGTCAAGTCAGATCTGACTCATAGTGACCCTTTCTTGGGCTTCTGAGGTGATATCACTATGGAAGTAGATTGCCCAACCTTCCTTCTGAGGAGTAGCTGGTGGGTTTGAACCGCCAGCCTTCTGATTAGCAGTCAAATGTCTTAGGCACTATGCCACCAGAGCTCCCAGGGCCTCCTTAGGGCCTGGTAAATTGGACCTATCTGGAAGTGTCAAGCTTTTTTTCCTTCTAAGCAACCGTAAAGAAGAAAGAGCAGACTCTATTAGCTGGGCTCTTACCCGTGTAGCCCACAGATTCCTCTCTGTGCTCTTTGCCCTCTGGGACTCCTGGGTCCTGATGCGCACTTTCACCTGACTTCAAGTGTTAAAGAATAAGGCTCCCAGAATGCTGGCAGCCCAGGGGATGCAACAGGCTGGCACCCCAGGTTGGAGGCTACAACATCAAGGTGAGCACCCACAAAGTCAGTGTCTGTCTCTTAAGCATCCCAGTGTTACTTAGCAGCTCAGGGTTTTGTAATCCTGTCTATCCATTTGTCATGGCAACAAACATCAGACACTGCCAGGAAGTATGGGGTACATGGCCTACCTTATAGTGACACTGGCTGATCTTAGCTATTGCCCTGCTTAGTCAGTGTCAGCATAGCTGCTTTACATAAAAAAGGGACCCACTGTGGGGTTAGGAGGTTTTAAAGAAGATACGTGGCTGATTTATATGTCAGCCCCATAGGTATAACCATTAGAAACTTAGAGAAACACAGAACTCCATCAATACTGCAGCTACAGGTGTAAGAAGGCTTACAGGCACAACCACAAACAAGTCCATCAATACTAGAGCTACAGGTATGAGAGGGGCCATAGGTGGAAACATAAATGCCCCCGATATGTGAGCATGCACAGACACACACCCATTGACACCATAGGTACAAGTGTTCTAAGGACCATGGCATGTGCTGGAGCCCAATAGCCCCCAGTAGGCTAGCCCCCTCTTCCTGCCAGAGAGAACTTCCTGGCCTATGAGGCTCAGGACTGCTCTGAAGCACAAAATGGGGGTCAGGGTCCAGGGACGTCCCAACACTCAGGAGGTGACAGGCATGCTGGGCTCTGTGGCCAGGACCACCCTTGCCTGACCCTGTGATTTCACAAGAGTCATAGGTCCAATAATTGCTGACTTGGTGATCTGATTTTGCTCCTGCCTTCTCCTCCCTCCTGCTGTCCAGCTTCTGAATACTGTGCTGTTCATTAACACTTCCCAAGGGCATAAGGGGTTGAAGAGACAGGTTCAGATCAATCTGCTTAGTGGCTTCTACACACTGTGAGATAGAGGTGCCCACAAGGGGAGGACTGCCTTAAATTCTCTCTCTCTGGTCCTCTACACTGAAATGACCCCTCAGGATTCCTCCTTCTCCCCAGTAAGGAAGGGATGAGGCCTGAGGGAAGTTCTGCTGCCCTCTAACCCACCAGTGCCCAGAGGGCTAAAGGATCCCTGAAGGCGTTTTTGAAATAAACAGACATTCTTGGGTTCTGTTCCAGAAATTCTGTTTCTGTATGTCTGGGGGTATTGCTGTTGTCGTTGGCTGTTATCCAGCTGGTCCATGACTCATGGCAACCTGTATGCAAAGGGATGAGACCACCGCTGTGATCCATAGGGTTTTCTGTGACTGATTTTCAGAAGCAGACCATCAAGTCCTTCTTCCTAGCATACCTGAGTCTGGAAGGTCTGCTGAAACCTGTTTCAGCATCAAAGCCACAATGTAAGCCTCTCTTGCATGGGGTGCACTGGTCAGGAATCAAACCCAGGTCTCCCACATGGAAGGTGAAAATTCTATCACTGAACTACCAGTGGCCCCTATGTCTGGGGTAGGTAATCACTCATTTCAAAAATGCTTCCTGGGGATGATGATAAGCATCAGGTTTGGTCTCCCTGCCCAGATGACACAGCAGTTACTGGGGCTGAGACTCCCTTCAAACGCCTTCCATTCCTGCCCTTGAAAGGGTCACTGGCCATGGAAACTCCAGGAGTGAGTGCTGACCCAATCCTGAGAGACATAAAATCAAGTTAAAACAAGGTGTTGATCATCCCCAGTTTTAGAAAGAGAAACTTAAACTTCTTTTTACTTTATTGAAAGAGAAGTAGGATGTCGTGGACAACCAGGAGGGTACCTTGAAGTGAGCGAGGTAAGGGCTGGGATGCATGGCCTTTCCGTGCCCGTTGCTTGGCGTGCTCTCCTGCAAGGGGATGTCTTTCAGCTCTATCCCAGCTGCAGAATCCCACAGGAAACCCGAGTATCCCACGCCCTGCAGGGGACAGGGCAGACAGAGCTGGTGAAAACCAGGCATTTAGAAGGGTTCATCTTGTTGCCAGCATCTTTCTCCACAGGGTTCTGCTCCCACTGGTGAAGATCTTGGCAGAAGTGTGAGGGAGGGACTGAGGAGAAGACACAAGCTTTGCCTCTTGGTCCCTGAGGTTATGTGCACAGGGCAGTTTCTAAAACAAATGGGCACATGAAAGCTACAGCACATTCCTCCTTGTCCCACTCCCACCCAATAACTCCCATTTCACACACTGCCAATTTCAAAGCTTTCCAGACAACCAGTGTTGCCTGAGCTCTTCTCTTTTGAGGGGAGAGAAAGTGGGTGAAGCCTACACTAGGAAGAGTTATTGCTGTAAACATTACACCCCATGAGGATACAATTCATATTTTCATCTGCCAGATGAGGAGACTGCTGCTCAGAGAGGTTAAGTAACATTCTTAACATCTCACAGCTGATCAATGACAAAGCTGAAAATTTAACTATGAGACCCCAAGGGGTGGGTTTTTCTTACTGATTAGTTACTGCTTAGAACAAACTGTGCCTGGTATTGGAAAGACAGTCTGTTGCACACCCTTGCAAGCCAGAACGGTCCCTGATAATGGAGGCTGGGAACTAAGTCTCTCTCTCTCTCTTTCAGTTTCTTTACCAGGAATGCTCTTTCCCTGGTCTGGGTACACAGTAACCTTCTTTGCACTGCGTATGTGTGTGAGTCATATGGCACCTGGCCAAACCCACTGCTATATTGGTTCCCAGAGAGGAGGGAGCAAGGTCCTTCACCTGCAGCATGACAGAGGTGCACGCAGAATGAGACCCACTGGCCACGGGGGACTGATGCCTGCTATTGAAGCTGACCTTACTCTGTCTCTTCTCTGTGTAAGTAAAGCATTGTTCCAACCAGTGCCTGTGTCTTTCCTAGTGACTTCAGACCTGACACCCAAAACCAAAACCAAAAAAACCAAACTCACTACTGTTGTGTTGGATCCGACTCAAAATGACCCCTGTGATATCACTACGGAAACCCGGTACCTAGTAAATGCTCAGGAAATATTTGCTGGATGAACAAAAGTCAGAGTTAACCATCTCAGTGGTTTGGAACTGGGTAGTCAAGCAGGTGGATAAGACCACACAGAAGTCTAAGCTGTACCACAGGGACCCTGTGAGCCCCAGTGTTATGGAATTGTGTCTCCTTCCCCCTCAAAAATTGTCTTGAATTCCTTGTCCTTGTACCTGTGGCTGTGATCATCTTTGGAAACAGAGATTTTCTTTTTCTTTCTTCTTCTTTAACATTGTGAGTTGGGTCAAAGCGTACAGAGCAAATTCGTTTTCCGTTCAACAGTTCATATACATTTTGTTCATGACATTGACTGCAGTCCCACTTCCTCCTTGTGGGTTCCTTTTCCCTGTGTCCTTCTTTCCTATGGATTCCTGCCCCCTGAGCTATCTCCCTGTGCAAGTGTGGCCCTTCTGACCTCTCACAGCTGATCTAAGGAGTGTATCTACCTGGTGTAAATGGTCACCTCATACATCTGTCTATTGTTTGGCTGGAAGCCAAGGGAGTGAGTTTAATTCCAGGCCCAAAGGGTTCTAGGGGCCATAGTTTTGGGGATTTCATCAGCTCTATCACACCAAGGAGCTCTGGTAGCGTAGTACCTAAGGCACTTGACTGCTAACCAGAAGGCTGGCGGTTCAAACCCACCAGACACTCCTCGGAAGAAAGGTTGGGCAATCTACTTCCATAGTGATACTGCCTCGGCAACCCAAGGAGGGGTCGCTATGAGTTGGGTCCAACTTGACGGCACACAACAACAACAACTATCAGACCAGTATGCCTGGTCTTTTTCATGATTTTGAGTTTTATTTCACATTTTTTCTCCCACTCTATTCAGGATATCCTATTTTGATCAGAAATAGGGATTTTCTTTTGCTATGGAAATAAGATCATACCAGTGTAGGGTGGATCCTAAACCTAATCTCTTCTTAGTTATAAAAAGACCAGAAGAGACACAAAGAAAACTCACATGGAGGAAGAAAGATGCCATGTGAGGATTACCAAGGAAACAAGGAATACCTAGAGTTGTAGACGAGGAAAGATTCGACATGGCTGAGACCTGGATTTGGACCTCTAGCCTCCAGAAGTGTAAGAAAATAAATTTCTGTTCTTTAAAGCCACATGCTGGTGGTATTTGTGTTATAGCAGCAGTAGGTAACTAAGACAGCTGGTGAGCAGGACAGGCAAGGGGCAGTGAGGACAGGTCCTGATGCTGTCTTGTCAGTCAGAGAAGCTGCCCTGACCTGGCAGCTTTGTGCACCTGCCCACGGGGACTTATCACTGGAAGAGGAAATGTTTTTTCCCCTACACCCCCCACTTCAGCCTGAGAGGCTCTACTGGCCATAAAAGCCTTCCTCAGCCATGCTGCCTGCTGGGCACAGTGACACTGTCTGCAATGTTCACCATCACTCTTCCACATTGGTCTGAACAGTCAGATCCCTGGCCAGTCTCCACAGGTTTACCACTTATCTGGGTCCAAGCACAGCCTTGTTGGGCCTGGCACCTTGACTGCTCATGGTGTGTATTTAGGGATAAGGCAGGAATACGAGAACAGTATGTGTCATGCTATGCATTTTTGTATTTTTAAAACATTGAAGAGTATTTTAAAACAAGGAATGAACACTAGTTAAGAATGGGAAGACATGAGGTTAATCATTCCTGTGTCACTGAGACATGATACCTCAGGTGAGCTCCTCAATTAACCTAACCCTCTATTTCCTCAGGTGTAAAGCAAGGTAAATATGATTTGTCCTGTCAGCTTTAGAAAGTTGTTTCCCATTCACTGTTTCCCAAACACAGTGCCAGTTTTTATAGCGTCATTCAGGTCAATTTCTGCTCACCAACCTTTGGTGGTTCCCTGTCACCCAATGAATGAGGAGCCCTTCAGAGTAGGGGCCAACCCTTCCTTTCCCACAGTACCTTGCACATCTGCTCACACATATCCCCAGCAGTACTGGGCTTTCTTGCTTCCTTACTTCTATGCATGCTGTTCCTCCCACCATTGGTTTCTCACCATCTGAAGGGAGCCTTTCCCAATCTGCCCCTGCCCCCTTGACTTAGGTGACTCCTCCCTCTCTTTTACCAGAACACCTGAGCCTCAGTATAGGACAGTGAGAGGAGCAAAACTTTAGAGCTAGAGAGAGCTACCTGGGTTCAAGTCCAAGCCACATCTCCCATCGATTGGGTGATTTCTGGGCAAATTATGTCACCTTAATAGGTCTCAATGGCAAAGAATGAAGGAAATCAAAGACACAGGGAAACAATTAGTCCAAGGGACTGGTAGACCATGCAATCCCCAGCCTATATGACCATGAGACCAGAAGAACTAGATGGTGTCTGGCTACCACTGTCAACCACTTGGAGGGGGATTGGTGCAGGAAATCCTGGGTAGAGTGAGAGAACAATGTGGAACAAAACTCAAAATCATAAAATAAATAAATAAATAAAGGACCAGGTGTTCTGGTCTGATAGAGGCTGGTGGAACCCCTGAGACTATGCTCCTACTTGCCCTTCATGTCTAGAATTGAACGCACTCCTGTGGCTTTTAGCCAAACAAAAGACAGGCATATGAGTTGAACATTTACATTAGGTAGATACACTCCTTGGAGAGAACAATCATGGGAGAATAGAAGGGCAGTGTTTGTACAGGAAGACAGCTTGGGGGGCAGGAGTGCATGGGAGGGACAGACACAGGGAAGAGGTAACTATGGGGAGGAAGTGGGAAGAGAGCAGTTGCATTGTGGGAAATGCAGTCAATGTCATGAAACAAAATGTGTATGAACTGCTATGTGGAAAATGAATTGTTCTATAAACTTTCACCCAAATCACAATGAAAATTTAGGAAAAAAAAAATCGCATCAAGGATATTGGTAAATTGTAAAATGTCCTTAATTAGGGAGAAAGCATGTTTAAGGACAATGAAAAGAAAGACCCCATTTTGCCCCTGACGGTACCTTCTGGAGCTGACTCGAGGGTTTCTCAGTGATGATGGCCTTCCAGCATCCCCGGGGCCCCTTCCACTTGCGGATGTTGGGCAGGATCGGCTGGTTGAGCTCCATACAAAACTGCAAAGACAAAACACAAGTTAGTGTGTGTTCTAGCTTGTCCCTGTTGATGGCAGAAGCTAAAAAACTGTGTGATTTGGGCTCATTATCTTTATTCAGACTTGTCAAAGTCCATCTCTGTCTTCTCAAAAACCAAGGTTTGTGAGGATCCAGATGATGAAACAAACACCACAAATTACAAAGCGAGCTGCCCATCTATGAAATGCAAAGCTATCACCTGGGGACTCTAGGTTCATAGAAATGGATTCTTTGTAGCATTCTTGCCCAAATAGAGTCGGGCAAGAGTTGGCCAACTCAAAAGGAGTGGTCAGGGTCCTTTTTATCCTTGTCAAACTAGTAGATTCAGGACTCCAGGAAGGCCTAGATCAGTATCAGTATCAAATCTGGGGGGAAAAGCTGAATACATGGTCTCTTTTCACTTTGGAGTTTAGTTTAAACCACCAATTGCCATCAAGTCAATTCTGACTCATGGCAACTCCACGTGTATCAAGGTAGAATGGAAGTAGATTGCCAGGACTTTCTTCCAAGGTGTTACTGGGTAGACTCAAATCTCTAACTTTTCAGTTAGCAGCTCAGTGTGTTAACCATTTGCACCACCCAAGGACTTCAGAGCTCAGCTTAGAGGGAGCAAAAATGATCCCAGTTTAATCTTGATGTACCGTATCATTCACCATGGGTTTCCTCTAAGAGAGCTCTGCTATTGTGAATGGCTATTGAACCCCATATATGTGTAAGCACATACTTCTTTCTTTTCTTTGTGTTCCACCAACATGGTGTGAGACCATAAAGGTACTTTATCCCAAGGCAAAATAAAACCATATCTTCACAGGCAAAGTAAAAGGAAGGAGTCCAAAGACCAACCTCAACATATGTAGACCAGTTTCCCTAATTCATTCTTCAAATACATCCCTTCCTCTGGGGGTTGGTTCCTTTGAGGGGACCCCAGAATTGTTCAGATGTTTGGGTCAGTTTTCTACATACTTCTACATCTGGCACTGACTCTCCTTGGTGACACCCCCTTCCCCTTCACTTTGTGTATCCAGGAAGATGACACTCATCTCTTTCTCTACTCAGCCCTCTAAGTGGGGGTCTTCTTGGCTCATCACCAAGCTCTCTCTTTAAGAACTATCCTTAACTAATCTTACTTAGTCCTACAATTTCAGCTTACACTCATATCCCAACAACTCCAAAATTTGATTCTGCAGCTCAGATTTCTCTCCTGAATTTTGAATTGTGTTTCTGACAGGTTCTTTAACATTTCTATCTGAAGGTCACCATAGAAGCTGAAGCCCACCAGGTCCAAAAGGGGTCATATGATTCCCCACTACCCAATGAAAACTTGCCTGCCCCCCATGCCTATTAATTCATGGCATTTCCATCTACCCAGTAGCTGACTCCTCCCTCTCTTTCCACATCCAACATTTCCCCAAGCCTACTAGCTCCATTGTCACATTGTCTGAATTCCCTTTTCTCTTGTCCACACTCACTGCTGTGGCCCTGTTTTAGAGTCCCATCTCTTCTCACCTGGGTCACTGTTACTGCATCTACAAAGTCTCCCTGTCTCTTAGTCATCCACCTATCCACTTAGTAAGTTGTGATAGCCACACAGATGCACCACCACTGTGTTTCAGAGTGTCATAAGGGACCTATTACATCATCATCACCTGGAAACTTTCAAAAAATTCTCAGGTGCCATTCAGGATCTACCAAATCAGAAACTCTACAGTGGGGGCTAAACAAACAAACAAACAAAAATCTATTAGCACTGAGTCAATTCTGACTCACTGTGACCCTTTAGGACAGAGCAGAACTGCCCCATAGAGGTTCCAAGGCTGTAAATCTTTATGGAAGCAGATTGCTTCATCTTTCTCCCATGGAGTGGTTGAGGGGTTCGAATCACCAACCATTTTGGGTGCAGCCAGAAGCTTTAACCACTACATCACCAAAGCTCCTTGGAATGGGGCCTAGCAGTCTGTGGTTCAGAGAACCGCCCTCATGCCCTTCTTGGGCACCCACAGCTAGTGGCTGATAGCTGCCAAGGAATAAAGGCTTGGTCTTTGCCCTCACACTGCTTACACCGTAAAAGGGAAGGCGAGAGACAGGTCAATACTCAATTGATTATTTCTACAGTGACAAATGCTATGAAGAAAATAACACAGGGCAAGGGAGGTGGAGTGCTGGGAGGTGTCCTTCAGACAAGGGCAATTATAGGAGTTGGGTGGTGCAAATGGATAACATCCTATACTGCTGACTGATAGGCTGGAGGTTTGAGAGCACACAGAGGTGCCTTGGAAGAAACCTGGAGATCTATTTCTGAAAAATCAGCTACCAAAGACCCTATGGAGTACAGTCCTCTGATACACATGGGGTTACCACGAGGCAGGGCCGATGTGAAGGCAACTGGATTAAAGGAGTTATGCTGCTTTCACAGTTAGTTGTGTAAGAATCTGTGTTCCCTCAGTAACCAAAAACCAAACTCACTGCTGTCGAGTCAGATCCAACTCATAGCAATCCCTCCTTGGGTTTCCGAGAGAGTAGCACTACAGAAGTAGATTGCCAACCTTCCTTCCGAGGAGTGGCTGGGGGGTTTGAACCACCAGCCTTCTGGTTAGCAATCAAATGCCTTAGGGACTATGCCACCAGAGCTCCCAGTAGAGAACTCCATTAGGGAAGGGACTATGTGTAAGTCATTTTTATAAACCCCATACCTAGCACAGAACATGATGCCCTGTATGCTCTCCAAGCATTTGCGGGGTGAGTTGGCAAACTCTTCAAATATATGTATGACAAGCAGAAATGGGAATTTCTTAGAGCTAATGATCTGAATAAATGCTTCTAAGTTTTCTTCACTTTTCGCACACAGATGCACTCTGTACTGCTCGGTTGTCCCAGGAAGTGTTCTCCCCTGAATTTGGTCAGTGGTAACTTGTCTCAGTTCTACTCTCAACACTGCCCAGAGAAAAATGGAGTGGCTGCAGATGGGGGGCTTCATCCTCAATGGATGCTCTCAGCCAGATGCTCCTGGTTGGAAGCCACCTCAGATGGGAAATGAGACACGTTGGGAAATACAGCTGAAATTTATTGACTGGAACTTTAGGTACCCAGTGAGCAAGTGTACTTGAGAAAGGGGCCAACTTCCTGCTGCGGAGTCATTTGCTTGCTGAGTGATCATCAGAGCTGAATCCAAGAATCACTGCAAATGAGAGCAGCTCTTAGTGCCCATCTGGTGCCTTCCCTGCTCTCCACATAGGGCTCTCAAACTTGGCTGCACATCACTCTCTCCTAAGAGGCACTCCAGGAAGCTCTATTTTAAGAAAGCCCCCAGATGACTAGGGTACCCAGTCACACTAAAGCAGCCCAGCACTGCATCCGTGTGTGGCCAAAGCCCTGGGTGACAAGGAGTGCTAGGACACATGGTCTCCATCCAGGTATCTGCGCCATCAGGATGACACCTTGCGAGATAACCACTAAAATGTTCTAACCTCTCCAAATGCTCACCAGGACCTTCAGATACTTGATGACAGGTGTACTTGCATTCACACCCCAAGCCCTACCTCAGCTTAAACACTCCCATATCCTAACCATTCCTGGTAACAGCACTTCAACCAGAGGGGTCAGGAGTGGAAAGAGGAAGCACAGATAGACACCATTGTTCTCCATGTTCACCACACTAGACGATGGCCTTTTGGGACTATGGTTGTACTCTTCAAAATGTGGTCCTTGGACCAGCAGCAGCAGCACCACCTGGGAACATGTCTCAGGTCCCACCTTCATGGACTGAATGGGAACCTCTGAGGCTGGGCTCAGGAATCTGTTTTCACAACCCCTACAGGTGGTTGCCATGAGTCAGAATTGATTCAATGGCAACTAACTACAATAACAGCAGGTGATTCTGATGTATGAGAACTAGCGGACAAGGAAGAACAGTCTCATTTTCCTTTGTTTTCCAAATTCTATGTCACATGGCCTCATATTTACAAAACTGTCACTAATAGGTAAGCACATGGAGACCAAAGGAACCATAATCTCTGAACCTTAAGGGCTGTCTTTATTTTGTACAACTGAAGCCTTGGTCTTGATGATCTCTCTAGCCTTCTTCTCTGGTATTACTATGTAATTGGGGAAAATTAATAATTTAAGGAAGTGGAGACAAACGTGTTTATGGCTGAAGGTACTCTGTGTCCAAATTTTAATGATCAAAGTAAAAAAAAAAAAAAATTCACTGCTGTCGAGTCAGATCTGACTTATAGCGACCCCT